TATATATATATTTATATATATTTGCTATCATACATCAAAGTATATATGAATCCCATCATTTCTGTTATATTTTCTGCAGACATGGTCTGAAACAAAATCACCACCAACTAAATCAAAAGCTTCCTGGTTAACATAGGAAAGTCAAAGAGGATCTTTCCTCTTCTGTTGTGTTTCAGTACTAGTATTTTTTTAAACTTGTAAGGATTCTTTATAAACTAGAGGTCCATAGATCATTTAAAGCAGTCTTCATAAGCAAATTTACATACTTTGACATGCTTTTGTGAGGCAGTTAGTTAGTATCAAAATCCAGTAGTATTTCTTACGGAACCATATGACTTTCTGCGATGCAGATATACATTTCATTTCTAAAAAGCCACAGTTCTTTTTCTACATCTGCTCTCATCAAATCCCCAGGATTCATTCATAAAACTGCTGCTATTCCAAATGCTGATGCTGTTATCCCTGCTGTGGATTAAGATGTACACCCAATCTGGTGACACCATTGCGTGGAAGATTGATAAGTAGGAAAATACCCTCCCCAAATCCACAGATAGTCTTTTCTATCTCTAAATCCTCATGATTCACGTCGCCCCACAGTGCAATGCAACGAAGACACGTCTCTGTGCAGGCTAAGGATCTTCTTCCATCAAAGGAATCTCTAAGGGAAACAAAAGAAATAGCATTGATTGCCGATTGTAACTTCCCTTTATACTTTTGCAGACTATTAGTATTAGCAATTCTACAAAAATAGAAATGGACATTGCAAAAATGACATACGGTATCGCCAATTCTAGACCCACTTACGCTCTAACACCTATATGAAAATTAACCTAGTAGAACTACCCAGATTTTCTAGAACAAGCTAGGCCCACAAAAACCTAAATGCAGACATTGTTTCTACTACATTAATCACTGAAACAGCATTCAGAGTAGGCAGGGACTTTTACTGGTATTATTATAATTTCTCCCTCCTCCTTCTAGCTGTCCTCTTCCCGTTGCGACACTATTAAACATTAGCCCCAAACCTATGAAGCAGGAAGGCTTCCTGCACCCAGACCTTCGCCTGCAATGAATTTTGGACACTGGGCTTCAGCTCTTTGCCTAGTGACTCTCGGTGACTGTGGAGAGCAGGATCAGAGCCACTCCTTCCAAGTATCTCCAAGGAAAGCTATCTAGTTTCCTTAGCACGCTGAGCAGCACACCATGCAGCTCCATTAGAACTCAATGAAATGATATCAATGCATGCTCATGTTTGATTTAAATGCAAACAATAATATACGGCAATCTCCCTTCTCATACATGGTCCTGTGGGTACGTTCTCCTTATGCTGTGACGCCATTGTCCATGGCTTAATGCGTACGTGCCTCAGACTGAACAGCTTGCTGTACGCACAGACATGATGTATTTGTTAATAAAGGCTGCTAATTTTGGCAGAGTATGAAACCATGATTTGCTTTCCACTTAAAGCAGAAAATCCTGTTCTCTGCAGTGAAAGCCATAGCATGTGAGGGAGTTGTGAGCATGGGAGTTGAGGAGCAGCTGAACAGAGCAACACAGGCAAGATGATGGTTGGCTTTGGTGCTGTACACAGGTGCCTGCTGACATCCCTGCTGACGCTGCTGTTGTGGGGTCTGGACAGGAACCTTCACATCCCTCGCAGCACAGCTAGCAGGGACGTATCACAGACACGAAGCTCTATGACCGCAGAGTAGCATGGTTTAAAAAATGTCCAAATTAAGATGTGAACAAAACCATGGAGAAAGTACGAGCAAGTCAGCTGGGTTTATTCCTGCTCTGACGGTACAAACAAACGATGGCTCCTATGTACGGACTCACCTATTGCACCTATGCAAGACTCACCATCTGCAATATCGATCCGCGGACTCGTGGATGCAGCCTCCTCAGCAGTGCTATGGGATACGTCAGTTCGATCTGAACCGGGAAGCACTGCCGCTTGGCATGCCGGGGATGGGTACAAACTTTGGAGCAGTTCAGAGGAGCCCGACCTACTGTCACAGGTCTCAACTTCGCTAGGCAGCGTGTCTGTAATCCTGGGGCCAGGGTAAGCAGGAGGATTCTGATCTTCTGTCTGCAAAATATGCCCCTGGTCTGTGGTAGCTGAATATCCGGGTGCCAGAGCATTCAAGCCGCTGCTTACAGCTTCATCGTAGGAAGGCAGCATGACAGGAACGCCATCCACCACCACAAAGTCAGGGTCACCCATGGAGCCCTCCTGGTTGCCCCTGCGTCAAACACAGACGAGTTATCACAGAGGGCAGGAGCACGTCAGAAGCACCTCGGAGCGTCCGCTGAACTTAAGTACACAGCACTTTTCTAATCATGCAAAATGAAGCTACGGGGTCATTAACATTCAGAGAAATGTTTGCTTCATGGGTTTGCAAAACTCTGCTCAGGCTGACAGGTGGAATCTGTTACAATTGGAAAAATGAAACTGGTAATGTGAAGCACGATTTCGAGAAGGGAAGGAAAACAGGTGCTTGGAAGAGATAAGGAGCACCATTTGCTGTGCCGTGCACAGTAGGTATCATGGCTATAAGATCACAGATGTAGTTCACCAGTCAAAAGTGCCTGAACCCCTGCAAAAATGCGTGCTAGAGCGCAAAAGTGTTTACAGCCCATGTAAACAGGCACTGAGGTGACTACTACTGGATGACAGGGCGTTGGTGGCCAGATCTGTGGCCTCCTTCAGGTCTCACTTTCAAAGGATGAAGGCTTCCTTAACCGGTACTAGGCTGGTTTCTTTTTTAAGCAAAACATTTCTATTAATTGGGAAGGTCTGTTAAACCCAAAGTATCTGTTTAGTAGCCAATTAAATCACAGTAGAGTCCTAGCAGGAGGGAATCGATCCCAGGTACCTTTAGGACATGAAAACACCTGAAAAGGAGAGGACAGAAAGCCATTGCAATAAGCTACACAAGTACGGGCTATAAAGCTCTCCGTAGTGCAACCCATTACCCTAAAGATCTTCCTAGTTATAGATGTATATGTATACTACTCCCCATATACTGTTTATGGATGTATATTTACACATTACTTATATAATCTGTATACTTTTATGTACACATTTCTTTAAGATCATCGAGTCCTTTCTGCTGCACGTATTTACTGACATACAGCTTTTTCATCTGTTTTCTGCACATGGTAGAATAAAGACAGGAGAAAAAGCGAGCGCAAGAGAGAAGGAGTCACACAGTGAAGGTCAATAGCAAACTGAGCAGACTGAAAACTAGAAACAAGTCTAAACCCAGATACAGTACTAGTTTTGCCTAAAACTCCGCATGCCTGCCTTTGTTTTTCCAGTTGTAAGATAATAATAATACCCACCTACCTGTCTCATGAGGAGCGCTGTGAGAATCAATGACAAATGCTCATAGCTGCACAGTATTTTACGGAAATAAAGGACGATGTAGGAGATGTTTATGAATCGTGATGAAAATAATACTCATGAAGGGAAAGCAAACATAATATAAATTTGTCCGTTGAGAAAATCTTTCTTAAAACTTACATTACTAAGTCTACAGTAGTTAAAAAATTAATTCCCCCAGCACCTGAAAATGAGTATTTAAAAATATTGTCAGCTATTTTTACAGGCAGAAGCAGCAATTCTCTGTAGTAGAGCTGTAATTACTCCCAAAGTGAATCTGGCAAACTTTGCCTTTTATCTGAGTTGCAGAGAGGGCTACTGTGGGTTTCCAGGGGTGCCCTTCCACACTGGTGGCTCAGAGACTTCTGCTCAGAGCAGAAGAAGAAGGTACCTGCAAGGCTCATGAGCTGCTCTGTCTCCTCACTAAGGAGTGCTGAATGTAAAAACTGAATCAAGGTCCTCAATCTTGGAAAAAAAAAAAAAAAAAAGAAAAGAGAAGAGTACAAACCTTGGAAGGAAATGTGTCTTAAATTTGGTCTGGAACATCCTGGCTAAAATAACCAGTAGCAGTACTAATAAAACGCTGGTAGCAGTAAACGCCACTATTTTCCATGTAGTCAGGAGAGTCTCCTGTGTATTTGGCCAGGTTTGTTCTGTAACAAAAAGGCAATACAAGAGTTGCACTTGATTATTACCATTATTATTTTGTTTTAATGCTTCAACAACACTCAAAAGTGCCTGTTAGGACAAGATATCTTTTTTACGTATGTTGTAAACGCACACGTGAACCCAATACCACACACCGAAAGCAATCTTAACATTAAGCTGCCACAGGGGCTGGACCTTGCTTTTTCCCCTTGACTTTTTTTATGCGTGCAATCATGACCTAACTTATATACATATAAAAATATCCAGATGATGTTAAAAAATACATTTAAAGAGCTAACGACTGAAATGGTTTAGGATCATTCAGGATCTCAGAAATAAAAATGTACTGTATTTAATAGCATCTTAAAATCAATGCTCATCACTTAACCACGAAACAGATGAAGGTCACCAGGCACTACAGACCAACACATTTGGTCTAAAAAAGAGGGCAGAAGTAATGCCACTGCTGCTGCCTTACCTGTTTTGACACAGTATACTTGGTAGGAGGGGAACCACTCTCCATACTGGCAGGTGATGTACTTGTAGTCGTTGGTGAGGGTGTAACCAGGATCACAGTAAAACTCTACCACCGTCCCGTGGTTGTAACGCTCGCAAGGCCGCGGGTGGCAGATGTAGTCTCCATGACTCACCATTGGAGGTAGTGGACAAACTTGGGCAAATAAACAAACAGAAAAGGAGAAAGGCATTAATGCCAGCAACCCACCGCTGGGTAGCTTCAGTGTGTCAAAATACACTGGGCACGCTTCAGGCTCCCTTTCAGGGTCCCTCAGGTTTTGGGGTTTATCTCAGTGGTACCAGATTTCTGCTGCTGGGAGACCAGGTGCCCATCTGCACCCGGGGACGGATGCAGACACCTCCCGCAGGGCAACGTGTGTCAGGGTGGGTTGCTTTTGGCTCTCACTGACACTGGCAAGCTCTGCTGTCACCTGTTTGTTTAAAGGCCTGAGAGATGGGATCTGGGAAGCTTTCCTTCCTCTGGGAGGGCGAGAGGAACACAAAAGGGGACACGTATGCCTATAAGATGGCTATATAGGCATGGAGGGGAACAGCCAAAATAAGGAAAATCCCTCTCCTTATGAAGCATCTCAAATTCAGCTGTAACATCCTATTTTTTGTTTCATTACTATAATTAAATGGTTATATGCACTAATTAAATTCCTAAATACTTTTAAAAATAAGTTTGCCATCAGCTGTCCTGCAAGAGATTGCACAGCACACAGTGTTGCTTAAGCAATTACAGTCTGTACCACTATAATATTATTAGGTTGAGCTTAAATTCTACTAGTGTTATTTGTGTTTTGTTATCTCTGAGCAGACCTACTGATCCCATTGGTAGGATCGGTGGTGGAGCGAGAGCTTAAATATAACAGAGGCTGAGCCTAGCCTATGTTAATTAAGTGCAGCGGTTTACATAAGGTTATGTAAATAAGAGAGAATTGCAATATAAACATGTGGGACTTTTATTGTAGGCCCCGAAATGAAAAGCAATGTCCTCTCACATGGCTGGGCAGATGAACTCAATGGAGAGCCCAGGGAGCTCTCTCTAGGAAAGAGCAGCGAGTAAAGCAGCTCGCAAGCAGTATTTTTACAAGAGAGGAAACTTTTCCACTGAGTAAGTGTTAGTTGATTACTATTTTCTTAAGTGCTCCTAACACAGAGGGAAAAAAAACCAACCCTACAAAGATGTAATGGTGTCTCAAATGGCTACATACTGACCCGAAAAGGGCTTAAATTACGGGATGGATTGTTTTATGTCCCTTCAGAGGCAGCGACTAACTGGCTCAGTGCCCCATCTACAGGCTGCTCCCTTCACTTCGTGCCTCCCTCATGCAGGCAAGACCTGCTGCATTGATTTAAATAATGAAAATGCCATCTCTCGGAAGAAGACTCTTCCCAGAAATTACAATTCAGCTGCTTCTCTCTGTGAATCTTGTTACATGAATAATGCATTTCATAAAAAAAAATACACAAGATATTAAATGAATCTTCAAGAGAGGCTGATTACAATATGCAGCAATGTCTATTCCCTGTCCCCTGGAGACATGGTTTTGTTTGCATTTTCATGGGCAAGGCTTAATAATAACTTGAAATCAGAGCAAGTAATTCACATAAAAATTCACATCCTCAATATTCTGCATACTTTCCAAAGTCTCTGGGCCCATGAGAAAGAGGAATGCTTTACTGGGAAGTCAACTCATGATTGAAAACAATTTTCTTAAGACTAGGGCAAAGGTGTCAGACTGAAATAGTAGAAAAGCACCTTTTGTTCATATCAGGGATCATTCTTCTATTAAAAGAAAATTATCAGTGAAAGCACCAATTCTGGCCTGCCATAAGGAAATCCGGTATATTTTTATTATCTACACTTAGAGCACAAGAACAAACGAAGACCGCAATTGAAACTTTGCAGCTGAGTTTTGCCAAGCTGCGACAGGCTGCAGGAGAAGTGTAGATGCTCAATACCTTTCTAGCAACGAGCAAAGTAGAGCACATCTTGTCGCAGAGAGCAACAAATTTCTCCTCTCCAGCAACGTACTGCTCTCCTGCTGCCTCATCCCTAACCTCTTCATGTCATCAAGGGCCAGCAGCCTGCTGAATAAAAAGAGCCTCAGGGCTGGTGTCCCAGCAAAGTGGATCAGCTCAGGAATGACACAGAAAAACAATACACTGTGGGTACAACCCAGATACGGAGCTGTCAGTCTGTTTACAAATGGAAACGTATTTTATAAAACCTGAAAAAAAGAGCATCGCTCTTCACGTAGGGTACCGTCCCCAGTGCTAAGAATGGGTGTCATCCCTTCCTCTGACACCCTCGGTATTTCAAGGGAAACGCTCATGTATTGATGCTGCCTGGAAACTTCGGCAAAAGTTTCTTTAATGCGCCACAGAGTATTAGTCATGAATTAGAGTCAAGTTTTAAGTGGTTGTTCCTGCCAACAGCTCCTGCATTAAACACTGTCACAAACAGCAGATGCAATGGAGCTTGTTTGAAAATGAGGGTGTTTAGCTCAAATGAAACAGCGCTTCGTTCTTACGTCAGCTGGACTGTCAGAGTCAGGGGTTTTCACTCGCTTGGGATATTGCTCACTACCTCCTGTGAATTTTATGTCCATCCAGTTTCAGGATCCCTCAATATGTGCACAGACAAACTGGCCCCCATCTACAATCAGTAATGCTCAGGTTCAGAGCCTCTTTTTCCAAATCAGACTGAACGAGATACATCGCAAACAACCAAAACCGAACTGATTTTGAGCTCTTGGCAGTTAGTCGTACGCCCAGTCCCTTTCTCAACTTGCTCTATTGCCATAAGCATCCTGGCCCAAGACCATTTAAAGTCAGTGGCAGGACAGCCATGAAGTGGCCTTAGTTTTGATCATAGAAAAGCAAGGTGATAAAACTCTGGAGGGCTGATGAACACTCTTGGCTCCTAAAGACAGAAGATTTTGACAGGGTCAGAAGATCTGACAGGATCAGATCCCTTATTGCTGGTATTTACTTAGCATTATGCTGGATACCAGTGTATGATACTGGTTACACAGATTAAAGGAATGTGCCAGACGAAATATAGATGAAAACTCAGGTGGCAACGCTAAGCGCACTGATGTTTTCCAGGAAAGTTAAAATTCTCACATTCCCAGTGATCAATCCTAATTGTATTTGGAAATTACAGGCCACGGACTCCAGCAAATGAATCAAACTCACAGAATGAAAATAACCACAAACTGATTGAAATAAAATTGTGTCTGACAAGTGTATTTTCACTGTCAAAGCCGACAGCAGTAAGAACCATAAATAATCATAGAGACAAGTGAATTCTACTTCAGGAAGTTCTCATAGCTTAAAAAAAGCCCTAGGTGCTGTTCTTAAGCGCGACACCAAATCTTTACTAGCAATAGCTTTCAGCATCTTAACTTTACATGGCTTTTGCGACTTTAATGCGCTAATTGCAACATCCACCATGGATAATCCAGTCATATCTTCTGACGACCAACATTAAAAGACCACATGTGTATGTCCTTGACTTTGGAGCTTGTCAGAGGGACACACATATTTCAGGCTGTGTCTGCTGGTGGTTCTGCAGCATGTCATCTGCGGTGGTTCTCCGCGTCAGTCTCTATAGAGCAATTGGCCACAGACTGTAAGGGGACTTACATGAACTTTACAGCTCAGCATTCTCAGCTGAAAAGCTGAATCGTTCATCAAAAAGAAAGAACAAGTGTGTTTTATGGCAAACAAATCCCTTCCGGGATGCTCAAGATGCCTGTTACTCAAGGAAGTTGAAGGGAGGAATTCCTCATTTGATTCGATGGACTTCCCCACCTGCCCTTAGGAGCTGCTGGAGCTGAGGGCTCTCCTCTGAGATGAGCTATGGACTTTCTCTTCTGATTGATTTTAACGAAAGATTAGTGCTCTCAGGTAGAGCTTAAAACCTGGGGAGTTGAGCCTTGTGTTACAAACACTGTCAAATACTGGCTTGGAGCAGAGGACCTGTTTCAGGCTAATAGGAGAGCTTTTTATAACAAAAGACAACAGAGTATGTCCCACCCCCTTTTTGTGAGCTGTCCTGAGGTGCCAAGACCCCAAGCCTGGCTTTCTGGGTTCCCTGCAAGAGACAGCACAGCGAAAGGCAAAGGCGGGTCTGCCCCCCAGCATGCCTCCTCCGTTGCAGCCTCCGCAGTGTGATAGCCGCATCCCTTAGAGCGGGGTCCCTGCCAGGGTGACGCAGGCTGCGGGCGCTTACTGCCCAGGTGCTGGAGGAATAAATGGGGTTCATCCAGTAATTTTTCCTACCCCTTACGGTCAAGAAGCTTTTTAAACGCTGCCCAGAGGATGCTGCAGTAATTCTGCACTGTTGACACTGGAACTGTAGGAGGGAGGGAAGATTTTTTGGCATTAGCATATTCTCAATTAACATTGATGGCATGGAATAAAGAGGTCATGTCACTTTTTAAAAGCCACTGGTAGAGAGATAACAGTGGAGTTACAGATATTTACAGTGCTCAAAACCTTCTTTTTAGTCCACCAGTTGGTTTAGGTTTTGGTCAAAGTAGGCAGGAGGTAAATTTTTCAGGTTTTGCCCAGCTTTTGTATGTGATCCAGAAAAAAAAAAAAGCAAAAATGACTTGAAATACAGGGCACTTATAAAAAAGGGGTAGGAATAAGCAAGAAGCCTATTTTCCACCTTTGATTTTTTGCATAGCATGTTTTTCTCTAGCTACTAGACTGCCTTTCTTGTAGGATACCAGTTGCTCGGTTAGCTGGGGTAGCAGCGAAACCCAGTGTAAGGCGAGCCATTTTCTCTTTGACAGAGGGATGGACAGTGGACAGGGTTAGCAACATTTGCACCTAATCAAAAATAACACTTCTTCCAAACGCACTGTGAATGTCTGCTCACTACGCAAAGAGTGAGAAAAGATTAAGATGAAGCTTCATGATGAGAAAGATAAAAACCTGCCAGTTCCAATGTGTGGGGAAGACGCTGGTGTATCGTGCTAGACAGTAATCAGAGAGGTGGACACGCTGTCTGGTTTGTGCACAAACTGGAAGAGCTTCTCCTGACCCTCCCTTGTTGTTCTTGTACATATCAGGACACTAATTAACACAAGAAATTTGGACATCTGTCATCTGGCTACTGCATTCCAACCGATG